TACGTGCTCTATCTCGTCTTTTTGCAATCGAATTCGACTGTCATTCTTTTCCGCGTAGGCCCCATATACCACAGTCAGTCACCTTCTCCCGGTGATTGTCCTCAGATGCTGCATTTTGACCCACTAATTTTTCTCGCTTCACAGAAGTACAACGGCCGAAACTTCCCACTTCGTAACAGCCGAAAGCCCTAGAATGGTCGGGAGTGGGATTTGGGTCGTCTGATCTCTCTTCTGCACTTCGCGGAACGGTCTCATACGACCCATCGCCTCTTCTGAGGAAACCGTACCCATTGCTTTCCCTTCGTAATTTTCCAAACGGACTAAAAGCGAAAACCCAGGTCCTTAAAACAGACACCCCACTATCCGGGGAAAGCTGTATGAACCACAACCTCTCCTGATTTAGCAAGGGGTCAGCGGAACGTATTTCACAACTTGGACGTTTCATCCTTCCCATGAACTCGGCGAACCGGACACCTACCCACAAAGAATTACAGTTACTGCACACCACACCGATGCCTTTCGGGTAATGCTTGGTTGCGAATGGTCAGGGAATACACCTGCAACCATGTGGACAGCCTGCTGCATCGCGCTCTCATGCTACACTTGGAAACTCATTCTGAACATTGTACCCTGACATGTCTACGCAACTTTTGGAAACCTCCACTCCAGATGCAGTAGTGAACCCTTGTTGTAAGCGTCTTACTCCTTAATTGTACTCAGAAAATGACTTTCTGGCAGATCCCGACATACATCTCTGTTGGGTCCGTCCTATGGCACAGAATTCCATCCGACAGTGTAAATGTATTCCGTTGAAATACCCGTTATAAACAGTCACTCCGTACGCAGGTGCACGAACAAAGCCGAAAGATATGCATTGTTACCAGTCAAGCGATGCTAATACATGAAAGAGGTGCCCATCATCCAGTTGAAGTCACTGTTGCGAACCTTAAACCGAGTCCCACCCGAAGCCATTTGTGAACAGACTATTGAGACGAACATGGATCAGTTCTTCCTATTGATCCGAATTACCGCAGCGTCAGAGAGCTAATTACGCGTGGTCCGCGAGAGGCTATAAGCGCCCTCATTGTATCCATCCAAGCCGTCGACTGCGGTAGACGTATACGAAATTTATTGAGAAACGCTGCCATTCCTACACCACTGCAGTTGAAGCGGCATGTTACCCTAGTTCGCAATGCAAACTACTGTATAGGAAGATTGTATAAAACTGAAAACAAACGCTACATTAAAAAACGGCAAGGCGCTGGAAGTCAGAACCCTGTGGTACCATTGGAAAACACTACGCCGGAAACACTAACCATCTTTGGAAGCCGTCAGATGAAGGGACGTCGTGAAGCACAATACGGAAAGCGACAATATCCGTGTGATTCATCGACGTTAAACGAAACGAGGGCTTTGATGATTAGATCATTCACATACTATGCGACAATCATTGAGAACATACACGAGAACGCCACCACAAACTACGAGCGATTATTCCCCCGCCGGACGGTTATATAACTCAGCTGCGATGTGTACTGCCACTTCACCCACTTCAACGGAAATTGATTTGTGTTGATATAAGACGGGCACGTTATCCGCAGCGTTTATTCAAATTAAGCTGTTAATACACATGCACCGCCAACGGCACGGATCTTCTCCTCTGCTCGCCGCGAAAAAAATCGAGCCTTGACGATCACGGGCACCTTTGGTAGAACTCCCTTGCCCAGAACTTTGAAGTAACCCTGAAGGAAATGAGAAGGAGAAACGAAGACTTACTTTCCGGAGACAATCGATTACTGGGGCCTTTCCCTCTTTGTCGTTTTTATACTTGTCATACGTATCTAATGATACCAACGACCAGAGTTTCTCCACATTGATTGCCGGACAATAGTATGGGTTTTTCTTGAAATGGTAATGCCGCATACCAACTTTCCCGATGTAACCAGGGTGGTACTTGTCACAATTTATTTGATGATGGTGCTCAAGACCGGCATTACCGCGACCTCCAGGATGCTTTCGGTGCTTCCCAACTCGACCGTGGCCGTGACTGACATGACCACGCAACTTCCTCGTCTTTTTTGGCTTGATCTTGGACTAAAGATAAGGGACAGTGAACAACCACGCGAACACGATGACCTACCATTTCGACGGCGCCAAATGTGACCTAGACACACGCTCAAACAACAGGTCAGGTCAGGTCAGGTTGCACAGGACGGTAGAGGCTTTCGCCTATC